TAGTCAATGTATCGTTTGTACCAATGGACTTTCAAATTTATCAATTATAGCACTGAACTTTGATTTTCGTTTCAATTATATCACTGAATCGTTAAATCGTTAACGACACGATGGCGTGGTTGACAACTGTCTACGTAGACACCTCACCAAAATGACGTCGTTTTTGACCAGTCTGTTAACAATTTTTAACGGTCCAGTGATATAATTGAAACGAAGATCAAAGTTTAGCGATATAATTGGAAATATTGAATGCTCAGCGGTACAAACAATACATCACCTAAAGTTTGATGGTATACGATGTAGTTTACCCTTCTTCTTTTTAAGGCAAAACTATGTTCCCCATGTGAAATCTTGTTGGAATGAATGACATATTTCGCTCGAAAAAGAATTGAGGATATTAGGATTCGATAATTATTTATTCAATAAAGAGTATTTGTAATTTGTAATTTTTATTTTCTTTATTTTTTTAATAGTAGAGAGTTATTAAAAGATGATATTTATTTAGATTTTTGTAATCTATTAATTAGGTATACGTATCCTACAAATACAATTATTTGAATTTAATTTTTTAAAGAAAATAATATTCTTTTTTATTAACGAGGAAATTAGTGGAATTATTTGTTTTCTTTTATAGTATCTTGTTCTTATATTCTTGTTCATGGATTATATGACGTTGTTTTATTGAGTCTTCTGACTATTAAAAGTTGTAAAATGGTCTTTGATTATATGACACAACTTAGTTGAGTCTTCCAACAATTAAGAGTTACAAAATGGTTATTCGACTATTCATATGTTGCAAAATTATCGTTTTCGGTTAAAAATTGATGGTCGCCTGTGTTGAATCTTAACTTGTTGACTTGGATATGATAAAATCATATGTTAAAGACGTATACCGGTGCGACAGTTGCTAAATCGTTAACAGTCGGAAGTCGGATCAAAATATTGACCTTTATATGTTAAATGGTATTTTGATTAATTATGTATTTTAGTGATTAAGTAAGCTTAAGAAAGAATAAACTTGTGTTTTAGGGGATTGGGTTTTGAAATTCAAAGGTTCGGTTTTGATATAAAATTGACATAATGTCAAAATTAATCCCCAACATTTATCAAAATGATCAATCTAGTCTCTGTTCTTTTTTCGCAATATATTGTCCCCAACGTTCTATTTTGAGGGGGGAAACCATTAGTTGAAAAACGGTTAACGCTCCAAAATAGTGACATTTTATCCTAAAATGAAAAATCGAGGGTCAAAATGCTTCGAAAAGAGAATAAGGGCCAAAGTAACTATTCAATTAAAATGTTATTTTACCCTAAAATGAAACGTTAAAGACCAAAATAACTATTTGATTTAATTCTGATTCGATTATGATTAATTTTTAGTTAATCGATGTGATATTTTCGACTCGGTTTTTGACTAAATGAGGTCTCGTATTCAAATCCGATCAAAATAGGAGTGTGTTTTTAAAAATTTCTTTATAACCTTGTGATGCTGATGTCTTTTAGGCATTTAGTTGCTATAATTTTGTTGGCTATTTCCTTCCTTGTATTGCATTTCATGCTTCTTGAGCTTGAACACTTTAACCTATATATAATCCTTAAGCTTGAACTCAAACCTCATTAAGGCAAGGGAACAAAATTGATCATCTAGCCACCATGTGTGCCTTGGTCAAGTTTCTAGCCATGCTCATCTTTTTAATCACGTCCGGTATTACGCAAATTTCGATAGTCTCTGCAAATCGCGAGATTATCGGATTGATATCGCCCTACCGAACCCTCTTGAACGAGGAACCCTCTCCATTGCATCTCCAAGAAAAATCCTCTTCGTTACCTCCGTATGAGTATGAACCCCCGTTTACATGGGACGAGGTTCGCGGGTCGATGTCGCCATGCATGCCCTTCCTTGTCGGCATGGATTTCGATCCATCACCGACTTGTTGTGCTGGTGCTAAAGCTCTTGTTGGACGGCCAAAAACCAAACGAGACGAGCAAGAACTATGTTTGAGCCTTAAATTAATATTGCCACTACATGGTCCGTATGACCCTAAACGTCTTACTCTACTTAGCGAGAAGTGCGATATTGCTTTTCCTTTTCCTCCTATTACTAGCGACACAAGTTGTTCTAAGTAATCATTTCTTCCTTTCTCTTCCATATTTCGTAAATAATTAGTAAATCCTAAATCTTAAACCCTAAATATTTTTGTAAACCCTAAACCCTAAATCTTAAATATTTTACAAACCCTAAACCCTAAACATTAAATATCTTAAAAACCCTAATATGACGAGTGTATGTTTTTTTATATTTTTTTTGTTAATTTCGTTACTTAATTTTCAGTGAAAAAAATAACATTATAGGTAACACCTAATATTAATATTTACGATAGAAAATATAATGTTTTAGGTAACGTTTTATCGGAAATGTTAAATATTATAGATAGCGTCTAATATTAACATTTTCGGTAGAAAAAAAATAATGTTTTAGGTAGTATTTTACCGAAAATATTATAAAAATATTAACATTTTCAATAACGTCTTTCCTTAACCGTATATTAAGGTTGTCGTACTTTACACATCCCGAAAATAATAAAGTCTCATGAGTTCATAATATCCTTCGCATTAAATAAATAAAATTGGGTTTAATCAATATAAACTTAAAAAAAATTATTAGTTTAAGATGATTACAATAGTATTTGTTTGAAAGAATTTAATTATTTGATAATGAATATTTAACACTCTTATGAATCTTGTATTTAAATTTGAATTTTTTAATGATAACAATAATCTTATTTAACTACTTAGATTGTTCGATTTGAGTTGAATTTGAAAAATTTTAATTATAATTACCATCGAAAAGATGAGATCGAAATTATCATGTGGATGTAAGTATTTAAATTTAAAATTTTTAACGTAACAATAATCTTATTTATCTACATAGATTGTTCGATTTGAGTTGAACTTGAAAATTTTTAATTATAATTACCATCGAAAAGATGAAATCGAAATTATCATGTAGATGTGAAATATCTCGAATCGATAATGTTATGAGAAAAAAATTCCTCAAATAACGTTCCCACAACTTATTTATTGAAGTAAAGTATATTTTACAATACCATCGAGAAGATGTTGGGAGTACAATGTGTTTTTAAGAAGATGTGACAACAACAATACGTTTTTTTTTACTTTAGTGTTTTATTAGTCTTTAATATTCCAATTGCACAAAATACGAACCAATTTTTTTTCCAAGGGCCGATGTAGGGATGGGTATAAGACCCGAACCCAACGGGTTCTGATTCGACCCGACTCGACTGGGTTGGATTTTTTTAAAAAAATTAGGGTTCAAGTCGGGTCGGGTTCTGATTTAGGGTGAAAAATACCCGACCCGAAAAAATATATTTTTACCTTATATATTTAGGAATAATTACAATAATACCCCTCTATATATTATTTTTTTCAATTAAGTCACTGATTTTATTGAATAAAAATATTTTTTATTATTTCGGGTCGGGTCGGATCGAATTTTTAAGTTATATATCGGGTCGGGTCGGGTGAAAACTTGTTTTGGTCGGGTCGGGTGGACCAAAAACCCGACCCATGTCCATCCCTAGGCCAATGAGGTATAATGCATTATTCTTATTTTTTTAATTCATATATTCTTAAATTATGAGTTTTATTTTAAATTGATTCTAAAATTTTTGAATATTTTGATTTTATTCTCAAATTATGTTTTTTATTTTAAATTATTCTGTAAACTTTTGAACATTTTAATTTCTTTCTCAAACTATAACCCTCATTCTAAATTAGTTCCTACACTTTTGAACGTTTCAATTTCATCCTAAATTATCAATATATACTAATCACATCCCATGTTAACAAAACTGTTAAGACAAACTATATTTTTAGGTTTGAAAAAAAAGTAGATTGAACTATGATTAAAATTAATTGCATGTTTTGATGAAACTGAAAGATTTGAATGTTTGGGAACCAGTTTAGAATGAGGGTCATAGTTTGAGAATGAAATTGTAAGATTTTAAAGTCTGGTGACTAATTTAGAACGAGGGTCATAGTTTTGGGATGAAATTAGAATGTTTAAAAGTTTAAGGTGTAACTTGCTATGAGAGCTATAGTGTAAGGATGTAAGATGAAATTATCTCTTTTTAATTATATTAAAATGAAACGCGTAGCTTTTAAAGGGTCTAATTGCTTTACATTTGTCTTAGGAAGCTGCTAACCTATTAGGTCAACTTTTGACACTTTCCTTCCTTAAACATTCAAAACGTTATTTTTCTTTCTAGAAATTAACAATTTTATTTTACAAATGGTCCTTCGATTATTAACAGATACAAAATAGTCCTCCGACTATAGAGTATTGCTTTATTGAGTCTCTTGATTATTAAAGTTATAAAATGATCGTTTAACTATTCGTTATGTTTCAAACTCGTCGTTAAAAATTAGCGATTTTCTAAGATGGACGTTAACATAGTGACTGAGATATGATAATTGTTTGAAATTCTAGGATCAAATTTGATCATACCATAGTCAGCAGGTTAACGTCCAACTCAGAATACCATCAATGTTTTACTGAAAATGAAGAATTTGGAACATAATGAATAATCAGATGACCATTTTATAATTTTTAATAGTCGAGAGACTCAACAAAGTAATACTCTATAAATAGAGAACCAATTGTATGTTTTACCCATTATTTTAATACTTTTATCAAATAAGTCTAGCAGCTTAATGGTTAAGGTTAAGGCCAGGGTAAGAATTAAAAGGCAAAAGTTGCTTAATGGTCAACTTTTTTACATGCCGTATGAGTATTTTCTATGCATTGAGCTGCCATTCACTATATGATTCGGTCATTAATTTCATAATAAAAGCACTCATCTTTGTCCTGTTCTATGTAGTTCACATCTTGGGGTCTTTCAATGACTAAAGAAGAGAAAAAAGTTTGAAATCTATTCCCCTTTGAGTTTCTTTTTAACCCCTCTATTCATCATACAGTCCCTTTCTGGCTTTCTGGGTTTTGTTGCTTGCTCCTTTGATTCAGTCTTCCTTAAAGTATTTCAGCAGAATCTGTTGTTTTTTTAAATGAAAAACAACCCTTTTTGTGCTTGTGACGGTGTTGATTATATAAGAAGAAGATGGGTTTCTTAAGAACAATTTGTTTTTTGTTTTTGGTAGCGCTGCTTTGTTGTGTATCATTGACTTCTAGCTTATGTTACTGTAAGAATGGAGAAGAAGAAGCATTTCTTAATCGATTGGTAGATCCAGCAACTGGGGAGATTGATGAGAATCTGGTAAAGTAGATTTTGCTTTGCTTCTTTGCTTTCGAGCTTCGATCTGCTTAACTGATTGTTTGTGTTTACATTAATGTTCATTGGCTGCAATCGATTTGCTTGAACAATATCGGTTTACGGAACGAAAGCAATTGTAGATTTGTTTATTGGCAAATAGTGTTGTATTTGAAAACTATGCTTTAGCCTTTTGTTGTCAGCTAGAAAACTAGAAATCAGGGACGGTCGTAGAATTTTATGTTGGCGGGTGAACTTATAAAATATTAGGACGTGACATACTTATAAAATTTTAAAGGTCGAAACGATTATCAACGAAATACAAATAAAATATCTAAATTATACGAGAATTTGAACCTGTCAGCCCCCCTCAGCCCATGACTGGTAGAAATCTATGATAGCATGTTTAATGAAAACCTTGGGAATATCTTGGAACCATATTTCACCATTCAACTGAAGCATTTTTAGACTTCGTAACATGTTATGATCTTTCATTGGTTACTTAAAGATTTAAAGTAATATTAGTAATTTCCATGTCGTTTTTCGTATCGAGGTTTATGTTTTAGTTGGTAGTTGAGAAAACGAAAACCTACATTAGAGGTGGAAATACCTCGGAGTATTAGCCTATTAGGCGATGATTCAGTGAAATATTTTCTAGAACTAGAGAATTTTTCATGATGTTGGTAGCTTGCATGTATGGATGGATAGTGCATGCCTATGTTATTCACATTCGGGTGCTAGTGTTTGACATGGGTAGTTTCATTTCTTTACGAGTCGTTTCATGTCTTCGAATGGTCATACTCCCGTACCCATGTTCTAATATGCGTTGAGCATTGGTTTCGTACATTTCTACTTGAAGAAAAATTATGAGCCTCGTTGGCGTATACTGAACTTTCGAGAAGTAGAAGAGACATAGGTGTTTGATTATGTTTTAAAGCTAATCATATCATTTGTGGATGACAATGACATGAATATCGAATATTGGTTGCATCAATTAGTGAAAATGACATTCGATGTTATGATAATCGTACAAAATGTTAAATGTTCATGAGATTAACTATAGGTACCTTGTTTAAAATTATTCAGTTGTTTGAATGCAGGCGGAATTGTTATGGATAAGTTGCAGACAATATTTGAACGATTTAAATGAAGCTTTTGAAGATCCGAACTTATATCTTCCGGGACAAACACCTCGTATTACCAAAGATATTACTACAAAAAGTTACTCATTAGAGGGAGCAAGTGTTCGAAAATTGACTAGTCTTCTCCATCCCGAGCTAAAGCAAGCTCTTTGTGACTGCATAAGAAAGAATAATCTTCTCTTTCAAGTATCTGGAGAAGATAGTAGCTTCAAGACTTGGTACACCAAATATTTTGAGTCATTGTTTCACTGGCATGAAGCTCCTAGAAGGGCTTTGGCTAGTGAGAGCATTGCCATAGCCCCTGCCTCGGACTCAGGACCATCCCTGGCTCCTGGCCCTTTTCCTAATTCTGAACTTCCTCGTTTGAGTCCAGAAAGTCCGGCATCTTTGCCCTCTTTTTTCCCTATACCTTCTAATGAAGCTGCAAGTCCGATAAATGATATTCAAAACAATATAAGCCCAGCCAACATGGACCCGACACACAAGGGGACCGATAACAGTAGAACAATTATTATTGCGTGTGTTGTGACTGCAGTAGTAACATCTGTTGCTGCAGCATTGTTCTTCTTGTTATGCTGTCGTAGAGGTTCTTCAGCTAAACAAAATGACAAGAGGCCCCTTCTCAGTTTAAGCTTAAATGAATTCTCCGCTGGTATATACTTTCTCCACAAACTTTTGTTTTCTAGAAGCTTTCGGAAAGTTATTGATCGAAACATTTTTTTCTTTCCAGGTTCTTCTCATGCATATGCCTTTGGAACTGATAAAGAAGAGAAGCTAGGTCAACACTCGTTTGGAAATGAATTGAGCCTGCATAAAATGGCCTCGACTAATGGGAATGTTTATATTCAATCTAATGCCGAACTACTCTCCTTTGATGGGAAGTCATCATTCGGAGCTGTTGCTGCTGCCCCCATAGCCTCACCTGGATCTTCTGATATATCAGGCAATACTAAGCCACCGCTACCGCTACCTCCAGGAAGGGTCGGTGCTTCCCGACCTGTATTTCCTCCTTTGAAGCCTTCTCCGGGCAGAGCAGACCCTCTTCCTCCGGAACCTCCTGCCCCAATTAGAGCCAGTTCTCCACCACCTCCTGCCCCCATTAGAGCCAGTCCTCCACCACCTCCTGCCCCCATTAGAGCCAGTCCTCCACCACCTCCTCCCCCCATTAGAGCCAGTCCTCCTGCACCACCTCCTAAACCTCACCCCTCTATGAAACCTCCTTCTGCTACTATGGCCCCCCAACCTCCTCCACCACCTATTCCACCTGGTGCCCAAACCGGTCCTCGCCCACCACCACCTCCATCAGGTACCAGTCTCGGACCTCCCAGGCCACCTTCACCAATGCCTTCAGGTCCGAAGGTGCCTCGACCACCAAGCGGACCACAACGAACATCAAATGCTATCTCTGGCGAGGGATCTGGCTCAGCAGACGATGGCAATGCTCCTAAAGCTAAACTGAAGCCATTTTTCTGGGATAAAGTTACAGCGAACCCTGAACATTCGATGGTCTGGAATCAAATTAAATCTGGATCATTCCAGTACGTAAAAAGTTCTCTTACTGTTTTTCCTTTACTCTTTATGCCATTCCAGTACGTAAAAAGTTCTCTTACTGTTTTTCCTTTACTCTTTATGCCAATGGATCATTACGGGTTATATTTATACTATTACTATGTTTTCAGGTTCAACGAGGAGATGATAGAAACGCTGTTCGGGTATGCAGCCGTTGACAAGAACAAAAATGATAAAAAGAAAGAGGCCTTTACCCAGGAGTCTGTGCCTCAATATATTCAACTCCTCGATCACAAGAAGGCTCAAAATTTAGCAATCCTTTTGCGGGCGTTGAATGTGACCACAGAAGAAGTTTGCGATGCTCTTCGTGAAGGTGATTTCCTCTGTCTTGTTTGTTCTTTCAAATATGTGCTTGTGAGAACTATATCCGTAGGCTTTTGATCCGTGCTCCAGACTGATGATTGTGTGGCATACATGACCATCAGCTGAGCGTGTTTAGCAATTATGACTACTACGGTACTACCATTTTCACCAGTAATTATAATATCCGTGCTTTCAACGACCGGTGGACAATTTTGATAACTAACCAATAATTGAGTCGCAACATTTACTTATCTGATTCGCTAAAACATGATCTTCTATGTAATGTTGAAATTTTGTATATGATTCGCTACATTCTCTCTGAGATACCCTATTTTTTCATACATTGTACATTTTGGAAAAGAGTCGTAGTTACAATTTGTTATACATCTAGCATTACTAGTCTCAGCCGAATGCCAAACATTTGCATCTCGTTGAAGCTAACCGTATGTGGTAGAATAGTTTTTCTTTCGCTGTATCCGATTTAAGGTGGAGGAGGAAATGAACATACTGACTGAGCTTTTCTATGCCTTTTCCATTCATTTCTGTAAAGAAAAATATTAAGATGATCCCGATCGTTAAACTCGTTTAGAAACAAGAGGTTGTTAACAGCCAAATAACTACATTGTGTTCCTTGTATATTTGTTGTTTTTCCTGACATAAAAAAGGTAGTACTGATGTTTTAAGTTTTCAATTATGAGATTCTAACCTGTTGTTTTAAATCAGGAAATGAGCTCCCTGTTGAACTCCTCCAAAATTTATTGAAGATGGCCCCGACAGCGGATGAAGAACTCAAACTTAGAACGTTCATTGGTGAAATTTCGCAACTTGGTCCTGCCGAACGGTTCTTGAAAGTCTTGGTCGACATCCCTTTTGCTTTTAAACGAATGGAAACCCTGGTTTATATGTGCTCTCTTTCTGAGGAGGTTACTTTCACAAGAGAGTCCTTCGAAACATTAGAGGTGCGTCATTAATTTTAATTTGCATGACTTGCATGAATCACAACCGACATTTAGATCGAAAACGTCTTGGGAAATTTTTTTAAGACAGTCAACAAAATACATGTTTTATGAAATCGAATTCTGTGTTTACTATTTTGGCAGATTGCTTGCAAGGAGCTCAGAAGTAACCGCTTATTCCTCAAGCTTTTAGAAGCTGTTCTTAAAACCGGAAATCGCATGAATGATGGGACATTCCGTGGTGGTGCACAAGCTTTCAAGCTCGACACACTTTTGAAGTTATCAGATGTTAAAGGAGTAGATGGCAAGACCACACTCTTGCACTTTGTCGTCCAAGAAATTATACGCACCGAAGGCATGAAAGCTGCCCGTATTGCGAGAGAAAACAAAAGTTCCATTGATCTCGAGGATGTTTCCCCATATCCGGAAGAGCACTACCATGCACTTGGTCTTCAGGTGGTTTCTCATCTGAGTAGTGAACTCGAAAATGTCAAGAAAGCAGCAGCAATAGATGCCGAAACCTTAAGAGGAACCACTGCCAAACTTGGTCATGGACTCCTAAAGGCACGGAATTTCTTGAACTCGGAGATGAAAAATTTGAGGGAAGAAAGTGGTTTTCATGAAACCTTAAAGATTTCTGTGCAGAATGCAGAGGTCGATGTAACATCGTTACTCGAGGAAGAGAAGAGAATAATGGCAATGGTGAAGAGCACCGGTGATTATTTTCACGGTAACGCACATAAGGATGAGGGCGTACGCTTGTTCGTCATCGTGCGTGACTTTTTGATAATTCTGGATATGGTTTGCAAAGAAGTTAGAGACGCTCCAAGGAAGCCAGTAAAAGCACATAAAAAACAGGAGCCCAATGCATCATCATCTTCCTCCGAGTCCCGTTTCGCACCAACTTCCCCCGATCCTCATCAGAAGCTTTTTTCCGCAATTGCTGAACGGAGGAGGAACGATTATAGTTCTCGTTCTGATGATGAGGGTTGATGACTGTCTGTTTAAACAAGGTATGCTCTTTGTATGCTGGAACCCCCGTTTTTTCGCCCGATTGATGTCATATTAGCAGCCGAATCAAAATGGGAAGCCGTCAAAGTGTTCTTGCCGGGCTTTTTTCGATAAATGGAATACATCTTAGGTACCAGAAGAAAGGGGTTCAAATTCAATGATAGATTTCATGTTCATTGTTGATTTCCCCCTCTTCTACTCATCTTGTGCAATATTAGTTAGATATTCAAGATTCCTTCATTTTTTTGTTCCATAAAATCTATAATCCTCTGTTAATTTAAGTCTGTTAATAATTTTTCTTTGGAAGAATCTTTATTAGGGTTTTTTTGGAACTAGAATTTGCTTTCAGACAATGTATTTCAGCTATTTTCTTCTGTATTTCACTGAGAAATGAATGATCATAAACACACAAATGTATAAATACAACAAAACAGATACGTATACAGAGATCGGTAACCCCGAACATGGGTTCGTTGCAAAATCATAGCACCGGACCTGAAAAGTATTCCTTGGCCGAGTTCTCGACATCGAACCTAGCATTTCATATTGTTATGTCTTCTTGGCCTGCAGTCACGACATGAAATGAGAGAGTTCATGGAGTTATCTGCAAATCGAAACGACATCGACATTTATGTGCACATCTAGACTCTGCATTTTCTCTACAGTATCTGCGTCCGACATATATTCGGACATGGGAATGAAACTATGATGCGAAAACTTAGAAACGAATGCTACCCATGAATGAATCATTTATCAATGACACTGAGATGTACATGCATTCGAGACTCTCTTGGAACGTATCCGAGGATGGGAGAATGAAACGAACAAGGCGATACCTTTTTTAAATATTTTTTATGAAGTTTCAATGCCCCGATGCAAGCTTTCTTCGCATCCAGATTTCCAGTCATGTCATTTAGAATCTGATACAAAAACCAGACAGAGAAAAGCATCAAGACAATGTAGGGTATGTTTTTTCGTATAAATTTTGACATGTTCGTGTGTTCATCATGCCATTATCGCTCATTTTCCATGGTTTTGGAAGGTCCAACGCATAACGGTGGCAACCGATCCAAGTCGACCGTTGCTTAACCTTATAGACTGATGTACTCGTTAATCTGAGAGTAAAAGCTACAAACAAGTAAACTCACCTTAACTACATCGTCGAGGCCCCGAGCTTCATGCAGTAGCTTTGAGCTCTTATCTTTTAAGACACTTGCAACAAGGAAAACAGATATTGGGAGTGGAGCATCAGAGCTTTTGATTTTCATGTTTTCTCTCTCGTACTTCCCGCACTGACGTGTGGATTTCGGTTTCACTCTGCTAGAGCCTTCAGCCGTAGCAGTCTCTGATCCGGGTTCTTCATACAGAGAGAACAAGTCCGGATCGTATTCGAGAGCCCACATCATCTGCAGAAAGTTTAGGTAACGGTACAAAGCGAGTTATTGAGTAAAATTCTTGGGAAGAATGTCAAAACACAGAAGTACGGATTCTGTAAACACAGGAACTGATTTGTGATGTCGTGGAATCAAAAGAGAGCGCTCAACATGGCACAGCCAAACATTTATGAATTTTTTTTTCAAGAATATAAGTAATTCATAGGACTTTATCTCGATCTTTAGCTTTATTCTCCGGAAACCAGTCGTATTACAGATTAAAAAACTAAGTTCGGTTTCGTAACAATCATTCATTAGCTTTTAAAGAGTGTTGAACGTACCTCCCACAAGTACAATGAATCACAAAATGAGAACTCTCGACGAAACAAAACCATTAGCATCCGGAAAGCAAAGACATAGTTACCTCCACCCAGTGTTTCTGTAAAACGATGTAGGCGAGCAACGTAAGTTATGGTCGTACCAAAATGTTCGAACAGCTATGTTGCTCAAACAGGTGTGAGTGTCGAATATCGATATATGTCTAACATAGGAATGTTCAATCTTTTTTCAGGATTTCCAGGCATTTGGAGAATCCTTAAAAGTATCGTATTCGTATCCTCCAATTCATGTCTGTATATTCATAGGACATTGATACTCGAAGGAAATGAAGAGTCAAAAGAAAAATAGAGCTGAAGAAAGCACAACGTATAAAACTAGAGAACAAAAGAAAAGAATCCATTTCATACCAAAATGGTGATGAAGTTTCGGATCAATAACTTGAGTTACAGCGGCTAAATAACCGAGTTGTGTCTCGACCCCTACAGAATTCTCGGTGCATCTGAAATTTCCTCGCTTTAAGATTTAAAATAGGAACATTAATCATAAGAAACTCGTAACAAAGCCGAACGAAAGAAAATGGCATATAAAAAATCACGAGTCGTGATCCTAATAGACCTAGTGCACATGAAAAGATAAGCATCATGCTGCCATGGTTTTTGCGATAAACTAAAACAAAAGTAAACGTACCAATCTGCGCATCAGACGCTCAAAGCACCAAAACGCATCAGCTTCGTCTTCAAGAAGTATAATCATTGGAGAGCAAAGATCACTCATTCCTGCTTAACATTATAATGGAATTCAACTTTCGGAAATAATATTTGATTACAATGTAGATATAAAGACCTACTAACCGAAGTTACACGAACTTGGGTGTGAGTCTCAAATAAAGGTCAAATTTTCAAAAAATATCTACATATTTGGCGGATCCTAGGAGGGTCATATACCCATACCTGTGTACAGATATGCATCACACACGACACTATCAAAAAATGAAAAGCTTGAGCAACGTTGTCTCGAGCTACGATCGAGTAAGGAAACCAACAAATAGAAAGTATAATCATTGTTTTAGAAAAGAAATTACTCGCCTTGACCATAGCCAACATCCGTATCTATCCAGGCATAAACGGAGAGAATATCCCAAAGTTTCGACAAATTCTCTTGTTTCTCGTAGAATACTAAAGTCCTGTCGGTGCGAATAACATCAAGACCTGGCAGAAACATAAACATGAGAAAACTCGGTCACGACCAAGAGAAGAAAGCAACAAATGAAAGCAAGGCAAGCATTTGAAGTCTAAAGCAAAAAACAACCTATTTGATGTAATGTAAGCAACCACTGGATTACTTTCTTATCAAAAGGACCACGAGGAAGTAGCGTGTTCACCATGTCAGCATTATTAGCATCCGTACCTGAATAAACGATCACGTATTAAAGCCTGGCTTATTTCACTTCCAGCGACTACTATTTGAAAAAAAAAGGTACAGTGCCAGTAACTTGCCTGGGCTCGTCTCTGAAAGCACTAAAGGATCTTGAATGGATTGACCATCATCAGTGATGACAGGTGCTGTGATATATTTCCCACTTCCAATAACGGGAAAGATTTCCCGACATTCGTTCTTCCATCTTGCATATTGCACCCTAAGGAGTTGAAGTGAGAAAACAACACTCAGCATAATCCCCTGATGACGAAAGAAGCCCCAACAGAAAACTGATACAAGATGGGAACAATGGATTACCTTCGATGCTTCCGTATTTGATCCCTTTCATCAAATGTGCTCTCAGGATCGTAACAGCCAAGCAGAAACTCCCAAACTTCTCCTCTAATTGATGGATGGATCCCCTATGTTTGCAAACAAAAGAAAAATAACGGCAATGGATAAGAGGCAAAAACAAATAAGCTTAGCTATGTGCATGTACACATAAACATATCCGAACACAATTTAATAATATGCATATGTTCTATGTGAGGTTTGGAAATAATACACACATTTTTTTTGCAACAATACACAAAAGACATACATCATGCTTCCAAGCATGATTGATACATAAGTTACACAGGACACATATTATCGTATCTGTTTCTGTTATTTTCCATTGATGGATAGACTATGCTTGCTCATTTACAAGCCCAATTGTAGCGGGACCGGTAATTACGATACTTATATCCAGACCATTTCTCACCAATTTTTTAAAATCAAGCGGCAAAAATCTACATTTGAATTCGTATTTTGATTACTAGAACATTTCTATTCATTGACTGCATCCAAGACCTGCTGAAACACTAAATTGCAGGTGGAAACAATGCTAGTCGAAAGGCGAAACCAAATCCTTGACGTAGCTTTTGAGCCAGACTTTTATGGCCATGATTTGGAATGAATTACTTTGGAAATTTAAATATACAAGCAAATGAAATTTACTTCCAAGAACAATCAATCTTTTAGAACACAAATATGCACTTACCCCATGTTGGATTCTACGTAGAGTTTTTCCGATATCCAGATGTCCATCCGGAGAAAATGCAGCTTGCCATTTTCTAGCACTTAGAGTTTTACCAGGCTGCACAAGCAAATAAACAAGAAAAGCATCTTTATCGAATCAAAGCACAGTTTCCTTTTTACAATTACTGCAGAACTCAACTTCATTTACAACATCAACATATATGTATATATATATATATATAAACGTTCTTACAAAACAGAAGCAGAAATTTTAGCTATGAAACGAATACACATTGTATAACGTCTTAAATATAAACATTCAATATAAATAATGTCTTAAACATAAACTTATAATTTCATTCACATTTATATACTATCAACTTTTCCAAGTCCGTTAGTCAAAATTACTCCTTCCTTAATAGCCATAGCAATTCGGCATGAACACCGGTATCAATCAATATACTTTTGTCCATTATCAATGCAAGTCAATTTTCCATTTTCATCTCTAATTATTACTCGTTTCAGTTCAAACAAACCATATGTTCAACGAAAGTCGGATCGAAGCAGAGAAAGGGTGGACCAAACTTCTTCTCAATGTCATCCACTCGAGATGAATGCGGGATACACACATGTCCGAAACGAGTACTCTCGATTTATTTTCTAAGTTCTTCCATATATTCGGAGGATCGATCGAGGCCATGCCTAAAACACTTGACAACACAATTTTACACACGTAGCAATTCAAGATCAGATCCAAATGAGAACTACTCTAACAGAATAAATTCAGCTAAGCAAGAATTCAATCGAATTAGAACCAATAATAAAGCAAAAGGAAAGCTATATTTTCTTTATATAAAAAAAATCCAACTTTTCAATCAAGAACAAGAAAAGCAAACCTTGATTTTAAATCTTGTTCTAGGAACATCAGTGCATTCAGGCCGGGCTTTATAATAAGAATCAGCAGCTTCTCCAGGGGCTCCCCACATTACCAAGAAAACTAAACAAAATCAAAGGGGGAAAATGGGTTTTTCTTTTCTATTTTGCTGAAGCACTACCCAGAAATTAAAATCAATGGGAGTGAAGGAGAAGGTTCAGAAAACGGAGGGTCCAGCCAAGTCAAGTTCTTC